CTTCTTTATATTCATGGCGATTAGCTTAACTGTATTGGTATCTTAGCATAATATTAGGTGGCTAATGAAATCAATGCTTATGTTCTCTTTTTTACAGGGAAATTTTTCCAAGTAACCAGTCATTAGTAATAATGGCAATTATTAAGGAAGAAAAAAAAGACAGTTTTGTGAAGATGTTGTCATGTCATTAAAAGTGAACGCAATATTTGTCCAGTGCTGTCTGTTATTCACTGGTTATCTAAATGATATTGATCGGTTAAAAATTAGAATTGACTTTAACCGTTATTAGACATTAAACCAAAATATATATCAAATGTAGTTCAGAGTTATCATAGTCATTTAAGGTTGAATAGAAGATCACCCTCTGTATTCCATAGGATTACAATGACGTGTTCAAAACTCCGTGAAAATGTTCATTGGTTGTAAAACACCATGGTGTATACAATAAAGATGAATTTCATTTAAAGATGATATTCAATATTATTAAGGGATTAGTATGTACTAAGTATTGTTTCCGCAAGAGTTTATTTTCTATGAACTAATTTCGAATAAAAAAATCATGTTCAAAGTGTTACCTAGTTAAAAATAGTTCTTATCATTATACTGTAAACGGTATAGATCGATAAACACTAACGGAATTTACAATATAGTGTTATTTGTAATGTAAGTCTAGAACAATTCACTGTTGTGTTCTAAACATCAAAACATTCTTGTTTACGTGACCTAATTTACAAGAAGTTACGATTCCCAGAAGTTTTAAATTTCTGATTGTAATTTGCTAAAAGTAATAGCATTAAAATGTTAACTTATGATACATACTTGCTTTAACACTTTTACAATTTGAAATGATAAAGAACAACCAATATTTATTTGAACAAGATTTGTCATGTTAAGTTCTTTGAATACTGTCTATAAAATGGATGATGGCCAGCAGTGGAATTTAGGACGCGTGTTCCGTCCTATTTAGGACTCGTTAGCTAGATGTACCTGCATCCCAGATTTGATGTCCACTCCGGGACAAGCTAGTGGCTATCTGGACTCAGTAGCTAAGTGGAAAAAGCAATGGCGTTTGAAACGTAAGATACTAAGTTCAAGTCCCTGGGTGAAAACCAACCCAGGGATGCAGGTACATCCGGCTGATAAGTCCCAAATAGAACGAAATACGCGTCCTGGATTTCACTGCTAGCCATCATCCATCTGTGCTTATAATGATTGTGGCTTAAGGCGATATCGAGGCGATCCGCAGAGGATGCATACTTACTTATATGAGACTAACCAATTACGGTCCTGGGAAGATTCAAACAACCAATACAAAAATGAATGTCTTTAAAATGTTTTTCAAAATTTCACCAATCCATATTTCATTCGTTTTAAGTTTAAATAATTGGGATGGCGGATGGTCATACCATAGGTTGTTTATATTGAACTTTCTTTTCTAAAAATAAATTTCAAACATACTGCCTAACACTAAAAAGTTCGTCCTCCAGAACGCTCTAAAAAGTATGAAGAGAGATGAATAGATATTATTCCATTTCGGAATTCGATATCTCGAAATACTGGAAATATAATGAAGTTGGAAGTAAGGCACATTCTATTCCAAATCAACAGTTTAGAGAAGTTATTCTTGTTGTGAGACTTTTAAGTCATGATTTTCACTAAACACTACGTTATGGCTGTACACTACTGAAGAGTAATCACAAACTAGAAATAATGAGCTATCCAATGTTAGCTGGTATTTAGAGATTTCTTAACTGATATCAACTCATGAAAAAGATTATCTTCATATCAGCTACTCCACGTATCTTTTATTTTAATTTTTTCACTCGGTGTTTATATACTTCCAGGAGTAATTCAACTAAGAAAAAGAATAATCAACTTATCTAAAATCTCTTAATTGTTTATCGAACATCATTCAAGTACTCTTAACGTTCAAAACCAATTCAAAAGTAAACAACGTTGAGTATACATGACAACATAACACAATAAGTCTACCTCTTTATGAAGATATCTTGTAGTGATTTGAAAGAATCTTGGCAGAATATCAACTGTGTTCAATTTATTTAAAGTTATCTCGTCGTATTTTGACTGTTATGCTCAATGAATTTAAAATAGTCTCTTATAGTGGGTGACTGTTTATAAAAGTGGAAAATAGAAGTATTTCAGATCAGATTTCAGTTGATAACAACAACAGAATAATACATTCATTTTATTTGTTGTTATTAAATTTACATTGTGGTTAACAACAAATCATTGTTATCAGGTCGTGGTTGATTTTTACGATTATGAGAGGCTGGTATATACAACTGAGTAGTCGCAAATAGAATAAAACGTACATTCTGCATTGCAGTTAGCTACAGTCCAAACAATATTCCGAAAAGATATATATGTTGAAGCTATAGTGTGGCAATACTGATTTATACTTGTGATGGCTACATAAAAAGCAAGTAAAGTAGTGAGCCAAAAGGACTGTCAAAAACAAATTTTTAACTGGCATCATACTAAGACAATGACAACAACAAAGGAAGAGAGCACTATCATGGGAAATAACTAAAGTTTGAATACCTAAACTATCTTGATACCGGTCAATAGGCTGTATGGATTTGTTTTCTGATCTAGACTAGAAATTACTTGATTTTATTCATTGAGAGAATATGCAAAAGTAAAGTCCTTTGTGTGACTGGCTCGTGATAACTTTGATGAGATTATTTTAATTCCTGTACTTTATTTCTAACGGTTTGAAACAAGCTAATATAATATTAGAAACCAGTTATGTCAGGAGTGGTATAATTATTATTGATGACTCTAGGTGATCCTCATCCTAAATTATAAATTGATTGAATTTAGAAGTTCGACCGATCCGACTTCGTACTCTAAAGGTTGAGCACTCACTTCTTACTGATAGGGAATCCTATATAAAAAAGACCTATGCAGTACTCTTTGGTTTTCATCGGTACCGAAACTCAAGTCAATCCTTAAAGAATACCGTCTATAAAGAGACTAAAGAACCATTCGAAAATTGGCATCACCCATATAAAGCATTGGTATTCGAACGAAGAATATGTCTAACCAGTAAATTCATTTCATATTCTACAGTGATGAGTATACATTGTTGATCGTAACGGATAACCGTATTTAAGACAATAAACTTGTTTTCTAATAACTGATTACGCATTTGAAATCTGTAATAAAGTTTGTTGGCGTTGAAAATTGTTAAGATTGCATATATATGTTTATTCTATACTGGAGTAGGTTTGTTATGTAAATAAACTTTGAACTTAATAGCCCAAATCAACATTGGAAACATGTTTAGAGAAATAATAATAAACATAGTAAATGTCCGATCGAATGTTATACAGTACATGAAGGGAAATTATTAATATAAGGGATAGTAAATATGATCAGTACTAGATACATTGTTCAAATATATATTGACAACAACTAAATTAAATGGATGTTAAATGAAGAAATATACAGGATAAATAGATCGATAAATTAGATATATTGGATCAATTAATAACAGATTTGATTACAAATGTTTTGGTTTGAGGCAAACCACTAGTAAGAAAAAAGATTCAACATGCTCTTTTTGAACTGATTGCTTTGGTTTTGAATTTGTATTCATATAGCTTGTAATGAAGGGGGGGGAAGTCCAACTTGCACCTCCATGTATTGCCCTCCGGATAATGGGTGATCTTTCTCCCCATGATATAACGTAAGCGGCAACAGCGGAAAGTGGAATGGCCAGCCACTTGTATTGTTTAATGATTTGGAGCTAGTTAGTTTTTGACAGATTATTAATGACATAGTAGATTTTTTTCTAAAAAGTTATATTTTGTCTAATACTCTATCTGAACTAGATGAGTTAGAATAGAACAATTTTCAATACTATATATCCACTTAGAAACACTGAAAGTTTTTCTCAAGTACATGTTGAACAATCTTTAATTACTTCTTAGTTGATGATTTACTTAACAAATAAACGCTGCTACAAAAAATTATATATATATATATATATATATATATATATATATATATATATATATATATATATATATATATATAGCAAATGTCCCCCTCTATTTCAACCATATTTTCTGAAGAGATAAACAAGTTTTAGGCGGTCAAAATAGTAACGCTATCAATCAATCAACTCATTTATTTATCGACGAGATTATAATTTATGGACGAACCAATCACGTATAAGATAAAGGTCTTGGATTTTGGCATTACATTCATTCATCCATTTGGCTGAATAGAGTTTTGGCATTATAGCTGATATCAGTTCGTGATGAAAGCCTTAAATCTAATTCCTGACCATAACCATCAACTGTAAATGATAGTTTTAATTCCTCACACAGATTTATAACCGTAATTTAGTTCTAGTTATTAGATGGACACTCACAAGGTCACTTTGGTGTCGTTCAAAAATCGTCCATAAATTATAGTGTCACATTATCTATACTTATAATTTCACTTAGTTGTCCCAACAAAGTGATACTAGAACTATGGGAGAAAATGAATATTTTTCCGTGCTTAACAAATCATCAAATATATAATCGTGAATTATTCAGAATGTAAATGAAGAATTTGACCGGAGCTAATCTAAACTCACTTAATATACAATTCTCTGGATTGGATATTACCTCTTTTGTTGTTGTTGTTGTTGTTGTTAATTCTTGACTCATTTTTCAAGCATTACTAGTTTTTGGTTTCTAATTATCTAAACTATTTATAACTCCTTAATAAAAAGAAATGTATGAGTTCCATGTTTCTTTTTCTTCTTCTTCATCATCATCTTCAGTAGTATTTATTACTTTGTACTGTTCGTTATTTCTGGATCACTATCGTTATGTATGTATCATTCATTGTTTTTTTTCTTCTTCTGTATTTCAACCAATCAAACAAAGTAGATTGAACATTTAAGAATATGTGGGAGATTTACACTATAATATGATTGACTAACTAAATAGTTATAATGAATTTTATCCAATAATGTAATGACAAAATGTGATTGTATTATTTGTGTATTTAACGATGTGTATGTTTACTTTGAATGGATAAAGAAAAAAGCATATCTTTTCAATGTTTATGTTTATCCTTATATTAGAAGAAGAAGAAGAAGAAGATTCAAATGTATTAAAGTTGATAGATAGTGAGAATGTAATTACACTATCACCATTCTAATATGAATGATAAAGTAATAAAATAGTATAAATGAAAATATTAAACTATAAATATGGATCTAATTAAATCTGTAATGATTATTATAATAATGAAAATATAAGCCGAATGCAATCATCATTGGATAATCAAAATCAAATCAAAATGATTTATAGGTATGTTGTTAAGTAGATGAATTACATCTTAACATTTTATCATATTCTTATTATAAATAAGAAGTCCAGACAAATCAGCTGGATGAAATGTTGGAATTATTTAAATTTCAATCGCTGAGATTATTTCAAATATAATTTTCATATATAATGACTCCTCTTTACTCGGCGTCCAGTTTCTGTCAGCTCACTGAAGACAATGGATTGGTTAAAGTTAGACATTAACACTATTGGATGCCAGTTCAGTGGTCTAGTTGGTTAAGCGTTTGGCACGAGACTGATAGGTTCTGTCAAACTATTCGTTCTAATCTTGACGAATATTCGTATAAATTTGTTTTTTTCATTTTTTCTAAATTTTATTTATTTAGATATTAATTAATTTTATTGATTTTGATGGAGTTTTATTTAATGAGCTGGATGGTTTCGTTGTGAATCTCTCATTATTCCTATGAACAACATCATCAGCACAAAACTTCAGATAGAAGTTTCATGAACAAACTATCCAACTCAAAGAACAAAACTCAATTGAAATTATCCATCTGAGCTAGAAATCTTCTCCATCATTTATAAAATTTATTGATATCAATTAGGTGCCAAATATATGTTGTACTTTTAATGGTTTGCTGTGAAATACTTCTACATTTTCTATTTCATGTTTATTTTATATTTCTATTTTCTCCAAATAAATCAAAGAATTCTAAAAGAAATTACTGATTAATATAAGTAGTCTTTCATTAGGTGAAAATCACTTTAGGTTATTAATCAAATGATATTACAAAACTGAAATAGAAATTAATTTCTTTTTTTATTCAGTGATAAATTAACTGATAATGTAATTTAATTTAATTAGTCTGATCAATTAGTTGAACTAATTTGTATCAATCAGTATGGAGTTGTGGAGATTAAGATCATTAATCGATCAGTGTTAAACCACCATTGAAAACTTGGCAGTACTGAACGGCCGGTTCGTCCTACTATGAAACTCCTCATCAATGCGCATCCACGATCATGCACTCGGAACTCAAACTAGGAACCATAGGCCTCGTGCCAATACACTTAAACTTTAGACCACTGAGCCGGCATCTAACAGTGTTAATGTCTAGCTTCAACCAATCTATAATAATGAGCAACCATCTTCCATTGTCTTTGGTGAGTAACTATATCAGAATTGAAACGGACTGGTTTCATTGGTCACGGCTCTTCACTAGAACTCCAAGAATTACCTCTCGAAGCTAGTCACTGGAGATAATAACTTGAAATTAAATTGAGTTTAATAATGAATATTCTAAGATTAGAATCTCGTGAGATTGTGATATCACACTAAGCAATTATTGTTGAATCAATTAATGCAATTATGGATTATGTTCGGTGTGTGATGATTAGAAAACTTTGTAATCAGTTTACATGTACTGTGTATACTTTAAGAAGAAATCAATATTGTGGAGTTTCATATTTTATTTAAAATTAGGACAGATATAACTATTACATAACAAGAAGTTTACGCTTATCACTATAAAAAACAAACGAAAAATAACATTTTATTGCTTTTTTATTTTTATACTGTTTAAAATAACTTAAAGATAAATATTTAACATCTGTGAAGAATTCACTTGAAAAGTCATTAGAGCTAATTAAGAAATACAAGTGATCCAATATAAATGACCTGAAAATACATCCAATTCACTGATGAAAATTGATTTTATTATTAGACTTTCTATAATCCTGTATATAATGATTTATTCTGGTTAGCGTCGTTTTAATAAGGCTGTTTTCTACGGGATGGGATTGCTGACTCCATGCTCAACTCTCCTCCTTTATCCGGACTTTGGACAGGCAGTAACCCTAGAACGGCTACTGGCAGCCAATGATCCTCCACGAAGGGTAACAGGAGAGACAATCAATGTACATTCAATTTTATTTTAAATGTTTTTTTAATTAGCAAGAAAATGTAGAGGAAATCAATTTCCTTTGAATAAATTGCCTGAAAGAAATGCTAATTTTTCTCTTAGAAAATTTCAGAATGTAATAACTCTTTTTTGGATATTTATACGTGCAGAACACTTGACAGATTTGCTTTAAATCTAAATGATACGATAAAAATATAAAATTTCTTATATTTTTATTATTAAATTGATATCATGAGTGAATCATTGTTAGACTACTATTGAAAACCTGGAAGTACTGGACAGCCATTCCATCTTAGTATGAAACTCCTCACCAGTGCGCATTCATGATCCCGCACGCGGGACTCGAACTCAGGACCTTCGATTTAACATTGATTCATTCATGATATCAATCTAAACTCAACAATATCCACAATTCTATACTAATAGCTTTTATGATTATACAATTTTGAGTATTTAGACAGATCATAAACTTTAAATTACAATACGTAACTAAATTTTTCAGAGATAAGCTAAAATTCATATTTTTAAAAATCCAAAAGAAAAAAATCAGACAACGGATTAAAATGGCCTCCAAAATGTATGAATTACAAGAGTGACAAGACAGTAGTTTATGAATATAAGTTACATTAAGAAATGTAAACTGACCGATGTTATCTTCATCTTTATTATCAAAATACAGAAAAGAATGTAATACTACATAACACATAAGTATGTTAACGAATCAAAGATTGATTAAGGTATTCAATATATAACTACAATTAAAGATAGATATGTATTTAACCATTTGGTGTAACATAGTTGAATTATCATTATATTAGCTAATTATATAATTTAAAGTTACTGTAATTAATTAGAGACTGAAAGGTTTGCCAATAAATTTGTTGAAGTTGGTAAATTAAAGAAATTTCAATCAAAGAAAAATATATAAAGAATTTTATAACCAAGTAATTTAATTAAGATTTGGTTAAATCAAAAACAAATCCACATTTTATTCAATCATGTACTAGTCAGTAGATAGAATATTCTAATTTGTCGATGATATTGATTAATGATTGTACTATATTACCAATCAAAAAGAGTTGATAAATAAGATCTTTATATATTTTAACTATATTCTTAAGTTGTAAATTCATCAAAATACTAGTAATAGTCATTAGTTAGCTATGGTGTCACTTGAGGAGGAAGCCAAAAGAGGAAGTTTAGAATTGAAAGTCGATGTAAGAGAAATAATAGGAATTGAACAGAGAGGTTGATTATGAATACAGTGGTCTTGAGTGCTGTTAGAAGTATGAGAGCGGTTATCACTTTCCGGTTTCCCTCACCGTGGGGGTTCTTCCGGAGATACCTGTAAAGGAAATTGGGTTAATAGTGGTCTTACTGACCTGAGAGCGTGACCGTAGTGCCCAAGGGACAACTGCTTGAGGTCGGTCACACGCGACCTTTTTATAGGCAATTTTTGTGTTAGCTCCGTACTTGTTGAGACCTTACTGCCGGAGACGGATATCCGTGGGATAAGGCGAGGTGTGCATTTTTAGGGTAAATCTTTTCTAACCCTACCCCTCTTTGTGGGAAGGCAGCATCGCTGTCATGCTGGTTGTCTGAAGGAAACACCTTACTGTTGTCACACCTCTGTACAGCCAGCAGTACGACTTCGCCTTCGGACCTTGAGTTTGTTGCTTTTATTCTTACCGCTCTTCAACGGACCTGTCTGGCATGGTAGGGCCTTGAGAAACGGTTGTTTCAGTCAGTATAGCTCGATTGGTTCATCACGACAGGCAAGCCAGAACACTATGTCAAGGTAGCAACAACGGTCCCTTGTTCGTCTTGTATTAATGAAGTATGGCACATATGTGCCCGGTCCTACGTTGTAACTGACTGACTGACTGAATAGTCATTAGTTGAACTTGGTCAAACAACTGTCCTAATCCTCGGTAATTTTTGACGATTCCTCTGATAACATCAAATTCTGATAAAATATTCACTTAATGAATAATAAGAATGTAGGCGGTAAATTTGTAAATTTATATGAAATTGGTCATAAGCAACTTTCTTTTTTTTCTTTCAAAAACAAGATCTACATTTTCATTATCAGTAAGTTGTTTTTTGTTTTATTTTTATTTCTTCAATATCTCAACTAAATATGTTTATTATCTACAAATTATGAAGCTAATAAAAGAAACACAATATTTGAAATCTAAGGAAAACTAATAAATTGTATTTATCAATTCATCTGTTTTTGGCATTCATCAAAGGTTAAGATCATGAGCCAGTTGAAGCTAGACAACCATGGAGAACCTGGAAGCACTGGACGGCCGTTTCGTCCTATTGTGTGACTACTCAGCAGTGCGCATCCACGACCTCGCCACCTGCGATGTTCGAACCCACGCCTCGACCACTAGACCACTGAGCCGGCATCCAACGGTGTTGATGTCTAACTTCAACTAACTTCATCAAAGGTTTTATTTAAATGTAGTAATCAATGAAAAATTTGCATTTTCTTTTTTTGAAGGGTAATAATTTGTTTTGGATAATGAAGTTTTATTGTTATTGTAAACAATGACAACAAACTGATTTTTCAATAGAGATAATATGATCTAAATTCAAATAGTAATACTTGTTATTTAAATTTGCTTGTTTACTGAAGGAAATTAATGTATATTTCCACTTAAAGTATTTTGTAAACTAGTGAAGTGAACGGGAACACAAATGGGGATAACCAATATGTTTTAAAACAGAATTACAGAATATCTTGATGCAATATGAGAACCATTTGTAAATTTTCATCATTTATCCTTTACGCTCTATATGATGCTTCCAGTTCACAATTTTCTTTCCTTTTCCTTTTATATTCTCTTCAACTCGATCTTGTTAGCCTTTTGCTGACAGCCATTCAACTTTTGATTTGTGTAACATACTGTGGTGTGTGCTACTGATGTCGACAGATATAAGTAGTATGTATCATCAGTCGAATGTGGAACACCTGGAGGTAGAAGGTTAAGATCAAAGGAAGGAGAACTAGAATAGAGAATGATTGATGTGGAATCAAAAGAACAATGAAGTCTGAGACGATGGATTGTTATTTGAAGAAGGAACAGT